ACAGAAAACTTCCCCCACCTGGTGAAAGAAATGGACTTACAGGTCCAAGAAGCACGGAGAACCCCAAACAAAAGGAATCCAAAGAGGACCACACCAAGACACATCATAATTAAAATGCCAAGAGCAAAAGATAAAGAGAGAATCTTAAAAACAGCAAGAGAAAGAAACTCAGTTACCTACAAGGGAATACCCATACGACTGTCAGCTGATTTCTCAACAGAAACTTTGCAGGCCAGAAGGGAGTGGCAAGAAATATTCAAAGTGATGAATACCAAGAACCTACAACCAAGATTACTTTATCCAGCAAAGCTATCATTCAGAATTGAAGGTCAGATAAAGAGCTTCACAGATAAGGAAAAGCTAAAGGAGTTCATCACCACCAAACCAGGATTATATGAAATGCTGAAAGGTATCCTTTAAGAAGAGGAAGAGGAAGAAAAAGGTAAAGATACAAATTATGAACAGCAAATATGCATCTATCAACAAGTGAATCTAAGAATCAAGTGAATGAATAATCTGATGAACAGAATGAACTGTTGATTATAATAGAATCAGGGACATAGAAAGGGAATGGACTGACTATTCCTGGGGGGGAAAGGGGTGTGGGAGATGCGGGAAGAGACTGGACAAAAATCGTGCACCTATGGATGAGGACAGTGGGTGGGGAGTGAGGGTGGAGGGTGGGGCGGGAACTGGGAGGAGGGGAGTTATGGGGGGAAAAAAAAGAGGAACAAATGTAATAATCTGAACAATAAAGATTTAATTAAAAAAAAAAAAAAAAAAAAAAGTGTGGTTCTGAACTCTATATCTTCCATTGACAATTTTGTCCTGTTTCTTTGTCTCCGCATTTTGTTATGCTTCCTTGGTGCACCCCCTAGTGGTCTTTGTGCACAGTCTTATAGTTAAACCTTGATTGTTGTAGCTAATACCAGGGAGGGTTTGACCTCCAGGCCAAGTGGCTATGAGAACCAGCTGTGTCTGCAGTGAGAGAACTTCTGTCCTCTAGGGAGGTGCTAATCTAGCCTTTGCCTGAGGCTATCCGGCAAATGCCTCTGTGCAGGGCTTGGGCGGGGCGGGTCGCACAGGATCAACAGGGTGGGCCGGAGAGAGCAGTTATGGTGGCTCTCAGTCCTGTCCCCAGGGGCTCTGACCCTCCGAGTCCCAGCACCCGCTGCAAACCTCGGAGAGAAAGCTGCACCTGCTCTGACCGTAGCCAGACAGTCCCGCTTCTCCCGTTTGAGTCTGGGTCCTTAAAGACTCGCCCGTATCTGGAGCTCAGAGTCTGCGATTCCCTCCCGATTGAAAACAGCAACCACGCCCTCCGCTGCCAGCCCGCTCCGCGCACTCCGCACCTCAGAACTTGACTTCAGCACTGCGCCTCCTCTGAGTGTCCGTATGCGTTTCTCTTTCCTCCTAGTTGTAGGACTTCCACTCAGCCAGCGTTCCTGTGGTTCTGAGCGATGTCCGTTCCGTCTTTTAGTTTCACTTTTGAAGTAGTTGTTCAAGGCAGCAAACTCCGGCGTTAACCTATGCCGCCATCTTGGTTCTCTCTTCAAGAAACCAATTTTTTTTCTTTTTTCATCACCTGATTTTACTCTTTTAATTACTACATTTTTATTTTTAACCAGTATTATTACTGCTACCATTTTTTAAAGTTTCATTTTATTTTCTCTTTATTTTATTTTGGGATTAGTGTTCTCCATTCTATTTTCATCGTTCCTTTAACATGATTTTTCTCTACCTCAATTTTACCTGTATGCTAAAACCCTCTTCCTCACTTTCCTCCTTTTGTTGTCCTGTTTCTCTTACCCTATTCCTGCATTAGATTATCCCTATTCCTTCTTTTTACCCCCTGTCAAAATTTCACCCTACTTATATATCCTATTTTCAATCCCCGCTCTAAATCCTTATACACCTCTCCCCTATCTTTCTTCACTATCCAATTTTTTTTCTTTTCTCTCTCTGTTGTTTTGTTTTTGTTTGCTTGATTGTTGAGTATATTGGTTTTTTTTTTTAGGATTGTTTGTGAGGTTGTTTTGCTTTTTCTTTTTATTTTTCTGTTGACAGATTTCATACTAATGATTTTGGCATTCAAAATTATGGTATATGTTATTTTGCTGTAATTTTTAACAGTGCTGAGTAAATATTCACAAAAAATAAATAAGCTGTTAAAAATAAAAGAAAAATAATTGTTACTCATTGCACATATTCCTGTATTGTGTCAGGAGTTTTAATTCTGTGCAATTAAAAATAAATCCAATCTAGAGATTTCTATAATACAGGATTGGGCAAAACAGGTTTATAGTTATGAGTGCACAGAACAGAGTTTATTCTTGTATTTTTATTTATTAATCATTGTATTATTTTTCATACAAACAACTGTAAATGTACTTTTGCCTCATACTGTATTTAGTATTTTTAATTTGGGGGTTCATTAAAACAGCTTCATTGTCCTATAATTGATTTTGTAGTAAGTAAATGTTAAAAATTTGAATTTGTAAATTAAATTGTGTTAATTGATATTTCTCTTATATATTGGGGCCCCAAATGCAATTTTTTTTTTTTTTTTGCCAATTGAGTTCTGTTGCTTAAAACAAGACTAGAATCACTATATTTAATTTGGGGCCCTGGTCTCAGCAGACAAATCATTTGAGGGAATTTTAGGTAATTTAGCCTCCCTTCTGATCCTTGTAGAAGTATCAGTAGTTTTAATCATCCCAAAAGAAACTCCATTAACAGTCACTTCCCATTTTTCCAGATCTCCCAACCCTAGGCAACCACCAATGTACTTTCTGTTTTTGGGGATTTGCTATTCTGGACATTTCATATAAATGGAATCATATACTATATGGTCTTTTGGGGTAGCCTCTAAGCATCATGTTTTTAAAAAATATATTTTTATTGATTTCACAGAGAAGGGGATAGGGACAGAGATAAAAACATTAATGATGAGAGAGAATCATTGATTGGCTGCCTCCTGGATGACCCCCACTGGAGACGGAGCCTGCATCCTGGGCATTGGCCCTGACTAGGAATGGAACCGTGACCTCCTGGTTCATAGGTTACGCTCAACCCCTGCCGGGAGCCGGTCCATCCTTGCTGTTTCAAGGGACCTGGCATATATGGCATACTGTTCTTGATATGTTTGCTCACCTTCTTGGCACTATGTGTTTTAACCAAGGTCACCTCTATGAGAAAGGTTGTTTCCCCAGGTAGGGATTTTCCCCTGAAGTTAGGGAGGGAATAAAACCTCTTAACTAAGTACCAGATGGGTAATTAATCACTTTAACTACGAACAATCATGCTTAAGCTACATAATCTTTACTCCCTGGAATGGAGATAAGAAACGCCCTAACCTTTGGAATAGAGATTGATAGGATTGGAATCAACTGGTATAAATACAGATGTAAGAACACAGAACTTAGAATACAGAGCTTAGAACACAGAACTAAGAAGACAGAACCTACACAGAACCTACAGACAGAAGAATTTCGCTGGAGAGAACATGGCAAAAGATCCTGGACTGAACCTGACTACAGAAATTGGCAAGAGAACCTAACTAGAACCTGGTGACTGAACCTGGCTGGAGAACCTGGACAGAACCTGGCTGGAGAACCTAGTGAGGGAACATGGCTACAGAACCTGGCTGGAGATCCAAAGCAGAACCTCTCTGGAGATCCAGACCAGAACTTGGCTGGAGATCCTGGCTGGAGATCCTGGCTAGGCTGCTGATCAACTGAACACTGTCTCCTTTTCCTTCCTTCTTCGCCGACTCCGTCCACACCTTTGGGGACCCCTGGACCTGCTGGGGTTGGACCCCGGCAAACCCCTGAGCCATACTGGCTTGGATAAGCATAATGCTTTTAAGTTTGGTCCATGTCGTAGCATGAACCAGCACTTTATTTTTCCTTATGGCTAATTAATATTCCCTTGTTTGGATATACCAGTGATGTACCATTCTTTGTTGTCATTTGACAACTGAGATCAGGACTCAAGTTTCTGTTCTTTCATTTTCATTTCTGTTCTCCTTTTTCTTCCCTCTCTTCCCAGTGCTAAATGTGTAATAGGAACTTGATCACTTTTTTTTAAATTGAATTGAATTCAGATGACCAGCCCACTACCCCCACAACAAAATGGAGATCCATGTGGTGGAGTAAGTTACCATAGTTTATTAATATTTGTTAACAATACATTTTTCAGAGCACAGCATTATAAATATTAATATTAGAATCAGTGCAAATAATGAGTACAGATCAAATGTTTTTAAAGTGATAATTTCTCAGAAGTGTATGTTTTCAGGTCATTGAAGATTATAAGCAATTGGTTTGGACAAATACTTTTTATTTTTTTAAAAGAATTTGGTGGAAAAATACTTTTTAAAGATCTCTCTTGCTCTGTGAAAGTGACCCAATATAAATGAATAAAATATATTGCTTTAGTGAATTGAAAATAGATATATTTCTCTTGCAGAATTCTAATAATCTTCTTATTCACTTTGAAAACCTTAGAGTAAAATTACCAGTGATCTTTGGAACTTGCTTCATTGAAATTGACACAATTATCCCAGTAATACTTTAAACATTTTATAAAGCTTTTTTCAGTATGTTATTAAAAGCCTTCTTTTAAAATAGTTATCTTTGGACCGTCTTACAATACAGGGTTTTATTTGTGTATGTTGATAGTCTCAAGCCATTTTGCATAATGCTGGTTGTATGATACATGGGAGCAGGAGTGATAGGCAGTAAGTGTGATCACCAGTTACGTTGAAGCTCGTTCCCTTTAAAGCGTGCAAGAGAAAACTAGCAGTTATCCATCCCTAAAGCTGGGTAAAATGAATAAAAAGTGATGGAAACCCACACCCACCACATCATTATGGCTTTGCTGACAATTTAATTATTTAATTCCAAACTATTATTTCAACAGATTTAAACAATTTTTTTCTTCAACATAGCTAAGTCAAAGTCACTTCTCTTATACAGAAGTTAAGCCCATCACCACTTCATCTGAGGATAGTAAAACCCTTTTCACTTCCACGTGTGGGGGAAGCACCCAGCCAAAGGTCATGGTACACACGCAGGGAAAAATAAGTGCAGGAGCTCTCTGAAGTCAGTATTCATCATGGAATGGATATTCAGGATGATCAGACAACCTACCAAAACAAGGGAAAAACTTTCATTCCAAAGTCACACAGCTGTATGTGTTACTAGCATCTTCTGACAATTTCAGCGACCACTCCCTCTCTCTGTTAATCATTCCTTAGGTTTCTTACCCACCTCCTCCCAGTTTTCATCAAGCCAGCACTTTTACTAAAGCCCTGGAGGTTTCAGTGTGTGTGTTTGGGCATAGAGGGGGCTGGTTGCCTCTACACCAACATTTTGCTCAGAACAAAAACACAGGAGGTGAGTGAAGCCTGCCTCTTTCCAACTCCTCCCTCCCTTCTGCTGTCCTGATAGAGGAACCAAATAGGCCTTCTCTTCACAGCTCTGTCACCAATCAAGGTCACCCTCTTCTCAGTACAGTGCTTCCTCCCCCTTCTCACTAGGCCTCCTGAGAGTTGATAGTTTGAGATCTAGAAGGTAAAGACCAGCAAAGGAAGTTTCTGCTATAATGATGACAGTGATGATGTTGAACCTGTCTCTTAAATAGCAATAGCATAGTACTCATACAAGTACTATGAGCTTTCAATTAAAATAAACATGGACACAGACAATAGGGTCATGAAGTCCTGGGGCAGGGGCCAGGGCAGGCTAGAAGAGATCAATGGGGGAGAAAGGGGACATATGTAATACTTTCAATAATAAAGATTTAATTTAAAAAATTAAAATATAAATTAAAATACAAATTAAATTGAAACAGAAAAATGCTGTGAAATCCAGTCAAGAATAAACTGGATGAAAAACAAAAAAGACTCATGGCCCAACGTGCCTAAATAATACATTTTTTTGACCCACGGGGCCTAATATTTGTGTCTCCTTGATGAGTTTTCTATTCCTGGTATGATGAGTTATTTTTTCAGTGCTTCTAGAATTAGGTATTAAACATTTCAAATGTCAAAATAAGTAATATTACTAACTAATTGTCTATAAAAATAATCAGTACATTGGTGGACTAACTACATCCTACTATCTCTTCCTAATTTAATATTTATTCAATAGAAACCATTTATTTTCAAAAGCTATTAATTAACCTACATGTTTTTTTATTTCTGAGTTTGTTTATTCCTTCACTCTTGCAGTTAGATGTCAAAATATTTTTCCCTGGAAAATTCACCGTAGGAAGCTACTTTATTCATTCAGAAATGGATTCAGAAATTTGATATTAAGGTGTTCACAGTAGTTTTTCACTCTTGAAATACTTGGGGTCCAAAGTATCCAAAGTATCTGAATTATTTTTATGAGCATTTATATTGCTCACTTATAGAGAAGATTATAAAGAGAAGATGGCTATTCAGGTGATGTGAAGAACTGGAAATATTAATAAAGAATGATTAAGAAGAAAAAATTGTGTGTATGTACATACATACCGTGTGTGTATTCACTTTTTATTTTCAAGGACCAATAATATCCTATCTAATAAGAGACAAAGATTGAAATTAACCATACCTCCGCTACACTTCCCATTGGCTAATCAGGAATATATGCAAATTAACCGCCAACAAAGATGGTAGCCGGCAGCCATGCAGCTGAAGTGAACAGGAGGCTTGCTTGCTCCAGTGATGGAGGAAGCCAAGGTTCCCCGCCTGCCGCGGCCAGGCTCTGAGCTCCAAAAGCAACAAAGTTGCAATTATAGAAGCTAAACAAACCCAGATACCTGCTTTCAGCAGGCCGTGGCCTCGGAGATGGAGCGGCAACCAAGTTTCAATTATAGAAGGTAAATAAATCCCAGAATAAAAAAAAAAAAAAAGAAAAAAAAAAAAGGAGAGGCTGCGAGCTTCAGTCACCTGCGGTCTTGGCCAGCCTGAAAACCCTCAGCCCTTCATCCAGAGTGGCCAGGCACCCCAGTGGGGACCCCCACCCTAAAGGGGGTGTGGCCAGCCTGAAAACAGCCATCAGCCCCTCATACAGGCTGGACAGGCACCCCAGTGAGGACTCCCATTCTGAAGGGCGTGCAGGAAGCCTGAAAACAGCCATCAGCCCCTCATCCAGGCTGGCCAGGCACCCCAGTGGGGACCCCCACCCTGAAGAGGGTGTGACCAGCTGCAAATAGCCATCAGCCCCTCACCCAGGCTGGCCAGGCACCCAAGTGGGACCCCCACCCTGATCCGGGACACCCTTCAGGGCAAACCAGCCAGCCCCCACCTGTGCACTAGGCCTCTATCCTACATAGTAAAAGGGTAATATGCAAACTGACCCAAACAGCAGAAAGACTGGGAATGACTGGTCAATATGAAACACACTGACCACCAGGGGGCAGACGCTCAATGCAGGAGCTGCCCTCTGGTGGTCAGTGAGCTCCCACATGGGGGAGCTCTGCTCAGCCACAAGCCAGGCTGATGGCTGCCAGTACAGCGGTGGTGGTGGGAGCCTCTCCTGCCTCCTCAGCAGCACTAAGGATGTCCGACTGCAGCTTAGGTTTTTCTCCCTGCAGGCAAGGGGACATCCCCTGAGGGCTGCCGAGCTGCCAGAAGGATGTCTGATTGCCATCTTAGGCCCAATCCCCCAGGGAGCAGGCCTAAGCCAGCAGGTGGTCATCCCCCGAGGGGTCCCAGACTGCGAGAGGACACAGGCCAGGCTAAGGGACCTCCCATCTGAGTGCACAAATTTTTGTGTACAGGGCCTCTAGTTAGAGAATAAAGGGCTACCTCATTAAATAACCAAATCTTGCAACATTTGAAGAAGTGTTAGGAATTTTACTTGTAGATGGATGGAGCTAGAATGGTGGAACTAGAAGTTTCAAATCTTATAGGTGAGCATTCATCTAAAACTAATTTCTTGATTAGTCAAAGAACATATATACATAGTGCATGGATACAGACAACAGTATGGTGATGGCCAGAGAGAGGAGGGGGTGCGGTCTGAGCTGGGTAGGTGTGGGTAAAGGGGAGGATGGGTACATCTGTAATAGTGTCAACAATAAATAAAATAAAACTAGTTTCTTGGCTCTCAACTTGATGCTCTTTCTACTACACTCCCATGTATCTGTCTCAGGAAGTATTTTTTATTGATTCGTGCATCACTTTGATTTTTAGGAATACATATGGTGTTTGAATAATTGTGGTGTGATTGTATTAATTTGAATCGTATTATTTATACACTATGACTAAATCTTCTTAAGGTCTTTAGCCTGCCATGCCTTAACCTGTCATAGGATGTGATATAAATGCCAGAAATCTTCTTTTAAATAAAAATGTAGATTTACAGGGAGTTCCTAGAATGAATGTAATTTACCCAGACCAATTTAATATTCAGAATATAATGCCCAGTGGCCTTTAGCCTTGTGCTTTCTGTGGACATAGGTCCGGGTTCATAAGAGCCCACTTGGTGATGCTTTTCAGTCTAACACCACCGGGTGGTACCTGATTAAGGATCCCCCAGAACTCACATGGGCAGATGCACTACGCGGACATCTGTATTCAAGGTTTCGATGCTCTTCATTTCTTCTGTAGTGAGAGAAAAGTCAAAGATCTGAAATAACAGAAATAAAAGACAGACATTTATAAAGATAAGAAATGGGTCAAGCTTGGGATTATATGGGGTGGGACCCGCAATTGAAAACATTCTAAGATTTATGAACATCTCTGAAAATGTCTAAGAGGAGTTGGTCTAGTGCTGGGGGTCCACCTTATGGAAGTGGAACAGGAATTCTCTTCTGCACTTTGTCTTAAGATAATTCTGTTAGGGACATCTTACAAGAAATTTTAAATGCTGTGAAACAATGTATGTTCACAACATCTGAAGAATTCTTATTAATTCTGGATAAGACGCTGAACTTTTGATTCTGGACTTGAGTCTGTGTACACTTAAAAAATATTCCCTTATCTCTAAATTTGCTTTTGTACTTTCAAAAAACGTTTGTTTTGTCCTTTTAATCACTTCTCTCATTATTTAAAAAATATTTCTATTGATTTCAAAGAGGAAGGGAGGGAAGTAGAGAAATATCAATGATGAAAGAGACTCATTGATTGGCTGCCTCCTGCATGCTCGGCAGTGGCGATTGAGCCCGCAACCCAGGCATGTGCCCTGACTGGAATCCAATTGTGACCTTCTGGTTCATAGGTTGATGCTCAATAACTGAGCCACACTGGCGGGGCTGAACAGTAAAGTTTTGAATCCATGAACACTTTTGTTTCAGATACCTCAAAATTTGTTGTTGTTGTTTTTTGTTAATCCTCATCCGAGGATATTTTTCCATTGATTTTTAGAGAGAGTGGAAAGGAAGGGGAGAGAAACATCGATGTGAGAGATACACATCAAGTGGTTGCCTTCACATGTGCCCCTGACCAGAGCCTGGAATCACGCTCTTGACTGGAATCAAACCTGGGACCCTTCCATCCCCAGGCTGATGCTCAATCCATTGAGCCAAACCAACCAGGGCATAATTTGTAGTTGTTTTTTAAAAAAAATTTTGATGAGCCTACACATTAGCCTTGCAGTGGCTCTCTCTTTTAAGATGGCTAAAAACAGTGTCAATGACTTTTTACTGTGAGGAATTTGGGAAAGTGTTAAAATAGTGTCAGTAGTTGATATTACTGTCTAGTATTCTTTCTTCTCTTGGCTAATAACAGAATCCCACTTTTTCCTTTTATGAACTTCCCTTCCACCATTAGTAGGGCTGTTTGTCACATGACCTCAACTCCAGCAATGAAATAGGGATGACTCTCTACTTAAGGATTAATGCAGCTGGTGACCTTAGGTTGAAGCAAATAGTCATTTACCATTTTGAAAAACTAGAATTTTAAGTATTATGCTAAATATACTCTGGAAAAACAAAGCTGGAATGATAACATGATTTGCTGAATGTTTTGAGCCCACTGTTGACATCCACTGTTCAGAAAAACAATAAATTTATTTGAAAATATGACAATGTATCCAGTCACTCAAGAACTCTGATGAAGATGTACAATGAGATTAATGTTTTCAGGCCTGCTAACACAACATCCATTCTGCAGCTTATGGGTCCAGGAGTAATTTTGACTTTCAAGTCTTATTATTTAAGAAACCAGTGGCCTGGTGCACGAAATTTGTGCACAGGGGAGGATGTGTTCCTCAGCCTGGCCTGCACCCTCTCCAATTTGGGACCCCTTGAAGGATGTCCTACTGCTAGTTTGCAGGGATCAGGCCTAAACCAGCAGTCGGACATCCCTCTCGCGATCCGGGACTGCTGGCTTTTAACCACTCACCTGCCTGCCTGCCTGCCTGCCTGATTGCCTCGAACCACTCTGCCTGCTGGCCTGCTCACCCCCAACTGCCACCCCCACCACACTGCCAGCCTGCTTGTCCCCAAATGCACCCCCCCTGCCAGCCTGATCACCCCAAACTGCCCCCCTTGCTGGCCTGCTCGCCCCTACCTTCCCTCCCCACTGGCCTGCTCATCCCCAACTATCCCCCGGCTGGCCTGCTCACTCCAAAGTGCCCCCCCCCCCCCCCCGCTGTCCTGATCACCTCCAAATGACCCCCACTGTTGGCCTGCTTTCCCCCAACTGGCCCCCCTGCTGGTCTGATTAACCCCAAAGGCCCCGCCCCCCACCACCCTGGTCACCTACAACTGCCCTCCCCTCTTGGCCTCTAACTGCCTCTACCTCGGCCCTGCCACCATGGCTTTGTCCAGAGGAACATCTGGAAGGTCTCCTGGAAGGTCTCCCAGTCTAATTAGCAGATTACTCTTTTATTAGTATAGATATATTTGTCTGTAAATATAATTATGATTGCAGATATGAGTAGGACCAGGTCAAATTTTATGGAATGGGCCTTTTATTACAGATGGTTTGCCATGTATGCATTTTTTCTAAAGAAGTAAAAATTACTTGAAAAAATGTTTCAGGAAGACTTTGAGAAATTTACAGTATCTGCTTTTCTTCCAAGAAAGTTTTCACTTTTATGCCAGAGTGAGAATTATTTGTATGCTTTGTATGTCAGCATTGGGCCACTGTGACTGGGGGGCACTTAGCTTGACTTGAGAGTAATTATCTTGCTCGCTGCCTGGGAGGGAGGGTGTGAGGCAGCGGAGATAAATACTCGGTTCTGGATTATTCATAGATTGCTGACTTTCTGGATTGATTGTGAAAGCCCCTCCTTTTATTGATGTCCACCTTCTATTGACAGACATCTACCCTGGCAGAGAAATGAGATGAAAGTCTCTTTTCATTGTAAAAAGCATTTGAATTCCGAAGGTGTGATAAGGCCACCCAGCCATCCACAGTCAAGGTACACATTTTCATGGAGGATGTTCCCACTCTTGAATAAATTAAAACAATTTTTTTCTTTTAATTTAAACTTTCTTCTATAACTGTTTTCTTGTTACTTAAAAGCTAGTTTTTTTGAAACTACGTCCAAAGCTTTTTAAGCTGTATATGTCCTTGGAATGAATTTATAAATAAGAATTGAGCCCGGCCAGTGTGACTCAGTGGTTTAGCATGGACCTATGAACCAGGAAGTCACAGTTTGATTCCAGGTCAGGCCACATGCCCGGGTTGTGGGCTTGATCCCCAGTACAGGGTGTGTAGGAGGCAGCGGATCAATAATTCTCTCTCATCATTGATGTTTCTATCTCTCTCCCTCTCCCTTCCTCTCTGAATCAGTAAGAATATATGAGAGAGAGAGAGAGATAGAGAGAGGAGTAAAAATGTTTGTAAATAAGAAAACATGTATTTGATGCTCTTAGAAAGTCTTAGTTTCTTTCATTATAACTTGTGCAGTATAGGGAACTCCATAGATTTTCTTAATTTGAAGAAAGTTAGAGGGAAAGGTACTAATTGAGAGTTCCTTTGAAAATGTGTCACTTATATATTTTTTATGTTAATTTTTTTTTAATGAAAAACAAATATTTTCTATTCAGAAAATATATTTGGATCTAAATATCTTCTATAATTTTAACCCTAAAATATCCATTTAAATATTTTAAAAATGGTTGGTATGTTTGTTTTTTTAAATAAGTTAGGTTACTGGAGTTCTACATGTTACTGGATCACCTGGGGTAATTTTCTGATTGGAAAATTAAGAATTATAGTCAGAGGGGAGGACATGAGAAGTTTTAAAGAACATATTCAATTTACTTTAGAAGCTGAACCTCTCTTATCATGTGACTTGTTTTGTATGTTTGTTAAACTATATTATCACATAAGCATTGCTGCTATTGGGACAAACAGTGACAGTTGATTCGGGTCACTTGAATGTCCACTGTCTGTTTTAATTTGTATGTTCATTTTGACTCTGTCATATGCTCAAACTTAAGTGGAAGTCATGAGAACCTATTATTTTTGCCTGCTCCCTCTTTTATGTTGGAAATATACTTTTTTAAAAAAAATATATATATATACTCCATTGACTTTTTACAGAGAAGAAGGGAGAGAGATAGAGAGTCAGAAACATCGATGAGAGAGAAACATCGATCAGCTGCCTCCTGCACATCTCCTACTGGGGATGTGCCCGTAACCCAGGTACATGCCCTTGACTGGAATCGAACCTGGGACCCTTCAGTCCGCAGGCCAATGCTCTATCCACTGAGCCAAACCGGTTTTGGCTGGAAATATACTTTTTTAATCAGAGGGACCTTAACTTTGATGTAAGGGATCGTTTCCGTTGCCAACTGTTTTCTTCCTTGCCAAGTAAGAGAGTTGTTGTGAACTCTTCAGTGATGCCTTCCCCAGGATATTTGCAGATGTGGTTGGGAAAAGTCATTTCATCCCCGACCTTAGCATGTCAGGTGCTGGGGTGCCGGGGTGCCGCCTCGCCTGCGCCCCCCTCTCCGATCCTGATGCGGCTCTCTCTCCCTCCAGTCGTCATGGCGACCACCGGCCTGCGCCCCTGCTCTCTCTCCCTTCGATCGCCGTGGCGACCACTGGTCCGCCCGGCTTGTGCCCTGGCTCTCTCTCCCTCTGATTGCCATGTGATCACGGGACCACAGGCGAGGTGGACCCCCTGTGGCTCTTGCCTGCTGCCTGGATTTCCTATCACTGTTCTTCCGTCCTTCCCCTTTCGCCTCCCATCATTGTGCCTACTTATACAAATTAACCGCCATCTTTGTTGGCAGTTAATTTGCATATTGCCCTAAGTAGCCCCTGGGAAGGGTAGCGGAGATACGGTTAATTACCCTTTTTGTCTTTTATTAGATAGGTTATGTTTCATAAGGACATAGCTGCTATACGTAGGGATTCTTCTGATGGATCTGGACAAAGTAAATTGAAAACCTGGAAAGGATTCACATTCTAGATGCCATTAAGAACATTCCTGATTCATGAGAAGAGGTAGAAATATCAACATTACAGGAGTTTGGAAGAAGTTGATTCCAACCCTCACTGATAACTTCAGTGGAGGAAGTAATCACAAATGTGGTGGAAATAGCAAGAGAACTAGAATCAGAAGTGGAGCCTGAAGACGTGACTGAATTGCTGCAATCTTATGATAAAACTTGAATGAACGTGGAGTTGCTTTTCATGGGTGAGCAAAGAAAGTGGTTTCTTGAGATGAAACTTACTCCTGGTGAATATGCTGTCGATATTGTTGAAATGACAACAAAAGATTATTACATGAAGTTAGTCCATAAAGTAGGGCCTGAGAGGATTAACTCCAATTTTGAAAGAAGGTCTCTGGGTAAAAATGCTATCAAACAGCATCACAGATGACAGAGAAATTGTTTATGAAAGGAAGAGTTAATCAAATGGGAAATTTTTTTTTATATTTAAAGAAATTGCCACAGCTACCCCACCCTTCAGCAACCACCATTTTAATATTTTTAGAATTTTAGCCCACCAACATTAAGGCAAGACCCTTCACCAGCAAAAAAATTGCAATTCACTGGTCTTGAATGCTGGTTAATATTTTTTAGCAATAAAGTATTTTTAAATTAAAGTATGTACCCTTTTTAGACATAATACTACTTAATAGACAGTATAGTGAAACATAACTTTTATGTGTACTGGGAAAGCAAAACATTTGTGTTAGTTTATTGCAATTCACGCTTTATTTTGGTGGTCTAGAATGGAACCTGTAATATTTCTGAAGTATGCCTATAATGTACAATCAGCAAAGCAACCCCCAAAGTGCTAGCAATAGTTTCAAATTCAGCTAAAATTAAATGCAGATATTGGCAGAGTGGGTCAGGGAGTTGGTATAAAATAAAATATGAAGGCATTACAAGTTTCTTTTTAGTCTAAACAAAATTCTTTGAATAAAAAAATCCTACATTTTACATTTTCAGAAGCAGTTCTCTTACCTGAAAGTTTTCTTTGATAATTTTAGGGTCAAAGCTTTTAGGAATGACAGCTATCCCTCGCTGGATGTTGAAACGCAAAGCAACCTGAGCTGCAGTCTTTTTGTACTTTTTCCCCAATGAGTTTAGAAGTTCATCCTCTAACAAAGGTTTGGAATATGTACTCAACCTTAAAAAAATAAAAACATGCATGATATTTAGCTAGAATCAATGGGAAGCAGTGGTTAATCAATCCTCCTCCTCTGTCTTCCCATTCACCTGGTAACCTTCCAGGACATTTCAGGTCTCCTGTAAGCAATTTCTGTGATTGCCGAGCCCTCAATGAAGAGTTGTTCTTAGTGTGGGAAGATCAAGAGAGGCAAATTTATATTGCTGCCTTTTTGAGAAAGTACATATGTTTTGACGTGTCTTATAGAGAGAGCTGGGCTGAAAGAAGGCATATGTGAGAAGGCAGGTAGCCTGAAGTGGAATAAGTAGAAATACAGCTCTTGGAATCATATTAGTGTAGAAAAATTTCTACTTTGGTCTGTGGAACACATCATAGTAGAAGTGTTGCCATTGAATACAGAGATAAAAAATTCTAAAATTTCAGAATTTAGGCCATAGAGACTCTATCAAATAACAACTAAACTAGCATTTATGGCTCACCTTTGTATTTTAGGCACTGTTAGGTAATTTTATACATGTCGTATAATCAATTCCTATAACATCTAAGTGAGTAAGGTTTTATTAGCTCAGTTTGGATATATGGAGAATGACCTGAAGAGTTTAAGTAAGTTTCTTAATATTACACAGCCCAATAGAATCATTTCAAAAAGTAAAATAATTCACATTAGCCTCATACTCTACATCAAAGGAAACACTTTCTGAAGAGACATATAGTATTACTTACCAGTCTCGATCCTTAGAGATCCCCAAAGGAGTAAATGCAACCAGGAGAATGTCATGTTGTTGGCAAAATTCCAGGAGTTTTCTCTGGGTGAAATATGGATGGCACTCTACCTATGTGATTGCATTGAAGAGCAGAGCACAAAATTAAGGCCTTGTAGATGAATGCAATTTTACGTAGTTTAAAAAAACTTTAAATAAACTTCTTTTTAAAGTATTATGGATAGTGAGAAATTCTAAATATTTTTCTTAACAAGGAAACTTACATTGTTTATATACTGGTGAAGTTAATTACAGCAAGGTTAGTAAGGGCACCATCTGTGAATTAATTATAAAATAATTGGGGGGGGAATCAATTTTGTGTCGCTATCATAGTTTCAAACTTGAAATGCACAGAATCAGTTATTTATAATACACATCCTAGAAAATACAATTTCCATAAGAAACAGTCTCAATGTTCAGATTAGTCTTAGTAAGTAGAAGCGACATGTTACAGAAGCCCTCTGCTCTAGCTATCAGACATGTGAGAATATTTTCACAAGATGAAGAACATGTTTGAAACTAAATTTAAAGATAAATTTTATTTTCTTGGATGAGAGTTCTATTTATTTTTTTACATTCAACATTGAAAACAGTAAGTATGATACAGAGAGGACAGAGGCAAAATCTTTGGGAGTATCACTGTGGATGCTGCAAACTGCTGAAGATGGGGCTTCAGAAGGGCTGCAGTATTGGTAAGCCATCTCTACAGTATTGCTGTGCTCCGTTTTCAGACACCACGCAACACATGAATAGGCTCAGGCTGTGATCTTCCAACAGGTCTTGCCTCCCTCGTCGGATATGTTTGTGAAGCTGATCAGCATTCTTGTGCCAACAGATTAGGGTATTGACTCATTAGCATGAGGCGACACACTGTCAAATTTTTACTCTTTTTCATTCTGAGATAAAATGTTACCATCTTTCTCTGTATACTAGTAGCCCGGTGCACGAAATTCGTGCACATTAAAAGGGAATTAATTGCCCTATCTGGTTTGGCTCAGTGGATAGAGCATCGGACTGCGGACTCAATGGTCCCAGGTTCGATTCTGGTCAAGGGCATGTACCTTGGTTGCGGGCACATCCCCAGTGGGAAGTGTGCAGAAGACAGCTGATCGATGTGTCTCTCTAATCGATGTTTCTAACTCTCTTTCCCTCACCCTTCCTCTCTGTAAAAAATCAATAAAATATATTTTTTTAAGAAAGGGAATTAATTAGCAGAGATATTTTAATGTTGCTATTAGCCCTTTCTATATAATAGAAATGTGAGAGATGAAAGGAAATTAGTAAAATGTATATGAAAATAATATATAAATTTATTAATAAACAGTAACAAAAGGATATAACAACAGAGGCATGATATAAAAATGACAAAAACATGATATGAAAACAACAAAAACATGATATGAAAACAGCAGTGATGCAAACAATGACTGATAAAGTGATTAAACTTATTCTAATATCTCCCTGTACATCACATTAAGAGTGAAAACACTTTCAGAGTGCTTGACTAATTTCGCTTGTGATAAGTACTTAGAACTTTAACTGTAACATCACATGCTCCTCAAACTCGAGAGAAAGCAACATATAACTGACCATGTGCAAAAACGGCTTTAGGTATGAATATGCCTACTTTGTAGTTTGTCCTTGTGATTTATTAATAGTCATCACAAATGCTGGCATCACAGGAAACCGTCGTCGAATCAATTTAAATGGGAGGCTAGTGTCAGATGGGGACAGATTAATTCTTGGAATCAGAACAGCCTCTCCCTCTGCAGATCCTGTTAATACTTCAGTTTTGATAATGTTAGGTTGTAATCTTTTGATAATAAATCTGCTGCCATTACAAAGATCCCATTTACTTTTGAGATTTCCCAATAGCATGTTGATTGCACCCACTTTCAATCCTTGGCTGCACATTAAAATCACCTGGGAATCTTTTTAAAATCCTGATTCCTGTGCCTCATTCTCCAGAAATTGTTTCTTTGTTATGGGTTGGGGCCACAACATCAGTAACAAAGAAACCAAATTAAAACTTTATTGTGGGGAGCCGCTACAGTGTTTTGGACAGGTTCAAGCCTTGGACTGAGGAGAGCGTACAGTCCTCTCATTGCCACGTGCAAGTCCCAGCTTGGAGGGCAGGGCCCTCCCAGCACAATTATAGCCAACAGCTATAGCCAACAGTAGTTGTAAGCTTGAACCTATGGTCCGAACACGTGGCCCCACGTGCCTGAGTGATGTAGGCTTGATAGAGTTCAGATGCATGTAGGTCAGTAGGACTGAAACCCAGGAGAATGTTGTAAGCATTGTGGTCACGCCCTTACTTTGCCTTGTAGCTTCTGGTATAAAATAAAAGCATGGCTGTGGATGTTATCGCTGTCTCTCAGAGAAGCAGCGTCCCACCGAGTCCCGGCTTTCATTCTCTGTCTTTTTTAAGCCTTTCAGCTGCCCCCACTCAGGTTCACACCTGGCCGTGCTGGTGCGGCACACTCCCAGGGAACCATGCTCCCAGGGCGGGTTCCTGCCTCAAACCTTGACCTTGCCCGAAACAGCTCCCGGGAAACAGCTCAGGGAGGGTGCAGCCGTTGCCAAGACAACCCCTGCAGGACTGACTTCCTTCCGGTTGGTCACCAGCCAGACCCCAGACGTGATGAACACCACCCATGGTTTTTATATAAGTAGATTTGTAAGAAACCTATTGTCATTTCAACATTTAAATGACAGACTATTGTTCTTGGGGGTATAGAAAGGAGATGTGCTGGTGAGGGAAAAGGAGGAATATAGGGATGGATGGAGGTCAGCTAGGAAGTCAAAGGTTGCTACTCTGTATACCTGAGAGCATATTGTATAGTGTTAGCTTAGGTGTCAGTTTGGAAGTGGTACTTGTAAAATAGCCACTCTTCTATTTTAGCTGTGGGCTATAGTGGTAATGTAGGTAATAATTCATTCTTTCTGTCATGGACTCATGCCAGACTTTTTAAGTTACTAAAAACACTAATTTCTCAGTGAGCCAAATCAGAGAAAAGGGGGCTTTGGAGACAGTTTCAGGGGGTTAGCCCAGGTTGAGCTGCCTCTGGCCATTGCTCCCCTGATTGCAGGGCTCCTGGTGTCCCTTAGAGTTTAGGAGATGCATGCCTGAGAGGGAAGAAGAAGGGGAAGGGAAAGGTGCTGGCATGTTCTCAGGAGGGGGAGCATGTCATCACACTTAAATTTCCATTTCTGTAATTACTAGCACAATTACACATTTTCATATGTTTACCAATCTTGCAAATTGTCTTTTGCAAATTTCTATTCATTACTTTTGCCCATTTTCCTGTTGAGCCTTAGTATTTAATTCATTTTTATTTAAGGTTATTGTTGATTGATACTTTTTTACTGCTATTTGTATTTTGTTTGCCTAGATTTCTCTCTCTATTTCTTCTTCTCATTTCAGCAGTCCCTTTAGCATTTCTTACAATGCTGGTTGGTGGTGATAAGCTCCTTTGGCTTTTTTTTTTTGTCTGGGAAGCTCTTTATTTCACCATCTATTTTGAATGATAGCCTTGCTGGATATAGTCATCTTGGTTTCAGATCTTTGCTTTTCATTACCTTGAGTACTTCATTCCAGTTCCTTCTTACTGGTAGAATTTCTGATGAGAAATCAGCTGACAGCCTATGGGGGCTCGTTTGTAGTTAACAAATTGCTTTTCTCTTGCTGCCTTTAAGATTCTCTCTCTTTTTGTTTTTGTTTAATTTTTGACATTTTAATTATGATGTGTCTGGGTGTTGGGCTCTATAAGTTCTTCTTCTTTGTACTTTCTCTGCCTCCTAATTGTGTGAATTTTTCCTTCACCAGGTGAGGGAAATATCCTGCTATTATTTTTTCAAACATGTTCTCTGTCTCTTGCTCACTTTCTTTCCCTTCTGGTACACTTATTATGTGAATATATTTTCATTTCATGTTGTCCCACAGCTCAGCTGTCTCCTTGTTTTTTAATTGTTTTTTTCTTTTTGTTCTCTGTGTGATTTTTTTCTGTCCTGTCTTCTAATTCACTAATCTAATCCTCAGCTTCCCCTAATCTGCTGTGTATTCCTTCCAATGCGTTCTTTATTAGTACTAGGTCATTCTTTATTTACAACTGTTCTTTTTCCATAGTTACTATATCTTTTCTCATGCTGTTGAGCATTCTTTACCAACATTATTCTGAATTCTATATCAGATAAATTTCTTGTCTCCATTTCATTTATTCCTTCTTCTGGAAAATTCTCTTGTTTTATTATGTGGTTTTTGTTTTTTGTCCTGTCATTATTACTACCTGTTTGGGTTTATGACTATGTATTAGGTAGATTTGATATGATTCCCAATCTCTAGTGAAGGACAGTGTCAAATGCTGTTTCTGACTAATTAGATCAGGCAAAGACTCAAAGCCTCCAAAGACCCATCTCTATCTGAGAATGACTGGATTCAGTCTTGAGTAGTCCTTAGGCAATCATACACAGGTGTGGTGAGAGGTTTACCAACTGGGCAATTGGAGCAATTGCTTCTTCCTATAGATTATTATTCTCTGTCTCTTTTTAAAAAATGTATTTTTGTTGATTTCAGAGCGGAAGAGTTAGAGAGAGAGAAACATCAGTGATGAGAGAGAATCATTGATCACCTGCCTCCTGCATGCCCCCTACTCTGGACTGAGTCCAAAACCCAGGCTTGTGCCCTTGACTGAAATAGAACCAGGGACCCTTCAGTCCACAAGCTGATGCTCTATCCATTGAGCAAAATCAGCTAGGGCTAGGGTGTGTCTGCCTTCTGAGCTAATCCAAAGCCCCCAAATCTAGCTTCTGCTCACAGAGCTCCAGTCCACTCTGCTTTCCCTCTACGAGAGCCCAACGTGAGTGGCTGCACATTAAATTTTGTGCATTGGCCCTTTAAGAGGGTGCCTGCATTTCCAGCCATTTCTGGCTGGCAGACAGCAACCCTGCTGCTTTTCACAGCCAGATGTTATGTGGGCACCTTTTTTAGTTCTGGTGCTCTCTGCTGGGGGCCCAGCCTAGGGATTAAACCCCAGAGTTCTTAGTTGGAACTCCCCACAGCTGAGATATATCTCCAGAAATTCATCTGCTGTCTCATAGAGCCCATCCAGTCTTTTCACATCTCTACCCTTCTTACCAGTCTCTCTGAGGTCTCCATTTTCCATGCTTGGTTATCAGGGTTCTCTCCAGCTAGTCTTCAGTTGATTACTCAGGATATGGGTTTTTTGTATTTTAGTTGCAATTCCAGTTTGGTCCTGGAAGTGGGTCTGTGTAGCATCCATTTTCTCTGGTACCATTTTTAATCTCTTCTATTCCAACTGTCTTAATATCAAGAAGGTCTTGTTCCCATCATTATATTTCTTCAAAAATTTATTTGGGTTACTTTGGTCTGGATTTAAACTTTCAAATCTTTATTTGTTATTTTTTTAAAAAAATATATTTTATTGATTTTTTACAGAGAGGAAGGGAGAGAGATAGAGAGTTAGAAGCATCGATGAGAGAGAAACATCGATCAGCTGCCTCCTGCACACCTCCCACTGGGGATGTGCCTGCAACCCAGGTACATGCCCTTGACCGGAATCGAACCTGGGACCCTTTAGTCCGCAGGCCGACGCTCTATCCACTGAGCCAAACCGGTTCCGGCTATTTGTTATTTTTTAAGAGACATAAGTTGAGAGAAGTTAAAAACTTCTCCAGGGTCTTTTTGTAGAGTGAGCACAACACTTTCTGACACCTAACCCATGGTCCTTTATGTTAAGTAACTCTTGAAATTCCTTGTCACATCCCACCCTCTTGTCAGACTGTACCTGGTTGCAGACTGGCTTATACTTGAGTCTTGGTTTGTTCAGTATTAGCTCCAGCTGTCTGCGGTTAAAATGGGATACACCAAGAGATTTCACCAAGCCAGCATCTTTGCAAGCTTCCAAAGCCTGTGTAGAGCAAATGCCATTGAATTTAGAAAGAAGCCTCAAAACAAGCAAGAATGAATGTTTAGAGGGTTAGTATAAATTCTTTAAAAAGGAAAGTCCCCGGGTATGTTAATAGTCATTCTGTGAAGAAAAAAATGTGGGGTGGACACAAGTAGGAATTGTTTGATTGTGGTATATTGTATACCATATCTTTCTCTGGTAATATATATATAATAATCTTATTTCTTTTTTGTTTGTTTGTTTATAATGATCTTATTTCTTTGACTTTATTGAGGCTTTCTTTATGGTATGGTACCTAATCAATTTTAATAAGTGTCTTAGATGTGTTGAAAATGTATATTCTGATGTTTTTTGATGCAAATCTTTCTTCTCTATCTCTGTCTCTCACTCTCTCTCATACATATATGAGCTTTTCATGGCTTCTCAATAATTTATAGGAATATGACAGTAATCTCCCACTATAATAGTGAATTTATCAATGTTTTCATGCATTCTATTTAAAAATTAAAAAAAATAAATTTATTGATTTCAGAGGGAGGAAGCGGGAGAAAGAAACACCAAAGATGAGAGAGAATCATTGGTCATCTGCCTCCTGAAACCCCTACTCCCCCCACTGGAGTTCTAACAGGCAATCTGGGTATGGGCCCTGAGTGGAATGAAACCTTGACCTCTTGGTTCATGCTTAACCACAAAGCTTCGCCCGTTGGGCTCTATTTTAAAATGTTTTCATATAATTTTTGTTTCATATATTTGCAGATATTTTATTGGGTACATATTTGAGCTTGTATGGCTCAGCAGTTGAGCATTGATCTATGAACCAGGAGATGACAGTTTGATTCCTAGTCAGTGCACATTCCCAGATTGTGGCCTGGTCCCCTTTGGGGGCATGCAGGAGGGAGCTGATGGATGATTCTGTCTCATCATTGATGTTTCTATCTCTTCCTCTCCTTTCCTCTCTCTGAAATAAAAATAAATAAATAAATAAAAATAAACATGTCCTCAGGTGAGGATTAAAGAATAAAATAAAAAACTATGTTGTCTGATCCTATAAAATAAAAGGCTAATATGCAAATTGTCCCATCAGGAGTTTGACCGACCAGGAGTTGGACCACTTGATATGTGTGCTGACCACCAGAGGGCGGCATGGAATGAAGGAAGGCCCCAGCCAGGAGCCAGAGGCTCTGATTGGCTTTGATCACTGGCCAGGCATAGGGACCCTACCTGTGCATGACTTTCATTCACTGGGCCTCTAGTATTAATATAACTATACAACTTTTTCTAAGTATTAGACTGGTAGGATTCCCCTCCCCTGTCCTTTACATTTTAATATAAAATTAGGCCTAGCCTAATTGTTAACATGTCTTTATGTTTAGATGTGCCTAATTCTAATCTGTCAATCTTTGCCTTTTAGTAGGTGAATTTAGTTTATATTTATTGTACTATAAATATATTTGGATTGTTTCTACCATGTTAATTTCTTACTTCAGTTTTTCCCCCTTTTATGTTTCTTATTAATACTTCCTTTTAAAAAGTTTATACCTACATCTTTTCTTTAATAAAGATAAGACCTTATATGCTCACACATTCCTTGATTTACCCTCACCCCCAACATCTATGATATTAATAGTCTATGCAGAATTTCATTTCCTATTATTATAGGTATATTTTTCTCTTTTTATTTAATATTATATAGTTTTATGGATAATAAAAACTATATCATATTTGATTTGATTACTGTCAGTTTATACACTTCTTGAAGCATCTTTTAGAGTTTCGCTCCTCTTATTTAGTAATAGTTTTCAGTGTTGGTCTTTATGTGGCAAAACCTCTGAGCAATGTATGGATCAGAAAATAGTTGCATCATGCATCATTTTTGTCTTACAGTTTGGATATGAAGTTCAAGTTCAATGTTCTTTATTCTTTAATACTTTGAAAATACCATTCTATTATCTCTTTTGCTTCTGATAATATAACAGAACTGATCAAAACAAAACTGATACCAATCCTATATAATAAACAGGTAATATGTTGCCCTAACTGGTTTGACTCAGTGCATAGAACGTCGGCCTGCGGGCTAAAGGGTCCCAGTTTCGATTCCAGTCAGGGGCATGTACCTTAGTTGCAGTCATATCCCCAGTAGGGGGCGTGCATGAGGCAGCTGATCGGTGTTTCTCTCTCATCGATGTTACTAACTCTCTATCCTTCTCCCTTCCTCTCTGTAAAAAAATCAATAAAATATATTTTTTTAAAAAAGAGGTAATATGTAAAATTAACCCTCATGCCCTCACAAGATGGCTGCCTATGATGAGGCTGGCAGGGATTTAGTGAGGGACGACCAAACGACTGAACAAGCAGGCTGCATGGGATAACCAGGCCGGCAGGGGAGGCAGTTGGGGGCGACGAGCCCAGCAGGAGGATTAGTGAGGGATGACCAAATGACTGAACAGCAGGCTGTGTGGGGCGACCAAGCCAGCAGGGGGAGCAGTTGGTGGCAACCAAGCTGGTGTGGGGGGCAATTTGGGGCGATCAGGGTGGCCTGCATAGGCAGTGAGGGTGATCAGGCCAGCAAGGGGGGCGGGGCAGTTACGGTTGACCAGGAAGGCAGGCATGTGAGTGATGAGGAGCCAGCGGTCCAGGATTGTTAGACGGATGTCTACCTGCCAGTTTAAGCCCGATCCCCTAAACCGGCAGTTGGACTTTCGCCGAGGGGACCCAGATTGGAGAGGGTGCAGGCTGGGCTGAGGTACACCCCCCCACCCCGTGCATGAATTTTGTGCACCAGGCCTCTAGTCTCATTATATACTAGTATGAATGACTCTATTATTGCCTTTCCCTTTTCAGTTTTGTTAGTTTATGCTTCATGTATTTTTGGAGTTTTGTTATTAGGTGCATAGATGTTTAGGATTTATTACCTTTTTATTATAAAACAAAGTTCTTTATCCCTGGGAATAAAGAGGCTCTGGAATCTTTGTTGATATTAAAATAGCTACTCCAGCTTTCTTTTTATTACTGTTAGCATAGTATATATTCTCCTGTCCTATAATTTTTTAAACCTTTGACTTTAAACATGTTTGTATAAACGTTTTTATTTAAAATGGGTTTCTTGTATATAACATATAGTGGGGTTTTGCTTTTTGTCCATTCTGACCTCTGCCTTTTAACTGCATTGTTTTAAATATGTATATGTACTGTGATTATTGATATCACTGAGTTTAAATCTTTCATCTTGGTATTTGTTTTTTTATTTTCTCATCTATTCATATACCTTCCTTTTTTCTTTTCCTGCCTTGTCTTGGATTATCTTTTATTATTCCATTTTGTCCCCTTTACTGACTTGTTTGCTATACTCTGGAAGCATTAACATTGTCTTTATTTGATATTCTTAAATTTCTCTATATTGTGTCTAGGTGTGGGTTTCCTTCTCTTCACTCTTTGGTAATCTATGCTCATTCAATATCTCTGGTTTTTTTTCTTTAACTATGACCTCTTTACCTTTTTCTTTCTTTCTTGTTTTTCTATTATGTGAGTACTGAAAATTCTAAGTACTGTACATCTCTTTGCTTTTCTTTCATATTCAATTTTTTTCTTGTCTTTTCCTATTTCATATTGGGAGATTTCCTCATTCTGATCTTTCAGTTTGATCCCTTTTTCTTTATATCCATTTCATATTTATCCCATCTATTGCATTGTGTTTTATTTTTCCTACTTATTACTTAATGCTTGTTTTTAAAAAATGTTTTCTTATTTCTCATTGCTAATATCTTTTCTTATCTCTTTAATATATTAATTGGCTCATTTAAAAGTCCTTTGTTCTCTGTTCTGTTTATGTTGGGATCTGTAATTGAGATATGTTGTTTCTTTGTGAAATAAATACCTTGTTATTTTGAGCAATGAGCTTATTTTCTCCTTGGGATCCTGGCTAACCTGTCAGGCAGACCTTTAGAGGGAAACACCAGACTCCAAATTACTCTGCTCCGATGATATCATGAGTCAGTATATTGTCTCTTGGGCAGAGAGCCCCAAGCACCAGAAAACTAGTAGCTGCCTCTCACCTCAAAACAACTCCACCCTTCAGGTCTTCAACTGTTACCTAGAGGGGGACACCCATTAGAAAGCCATGTTGTACTCATTAGAGTATATTCCCAGACTCCAGAATTTGGAATGGGATGGTAAAGGCAGCATCTCTTCCTAAATCAAATAGGAATAATCAGGTCACAATTCAAAAATGTGGTCTTTTAAAATGAAAGAATAAAAGGCTCTCTTGAACTTACTTCCCAAGTAGCACACAGATTTGTCTGGTGAAATATCCAATTGCCATTCTCATCTGTAGGAAAAATTTCATCTCCAGGCTGAGAAAGTAAGAAAAAACAAATGTAATTCTTTTTATTTATCTCTGGGAATTGAAATGATGGAATTTGAATTGTCTTTAGGCCAATATACCCTAGCTCTGGGAAAGCAATTCAAGTTTAATTATTTATAGCCTATATAATAAAAGCCTAATATGCAAATTGTCCCCTTGACTGGTAGTTTGACCACTCGTTATGACGTGCGCTGACAACCAGGGGGTGGCACAGTAATGGTGGGTGTCGGTGACACAGTGGTAGCAGCTGGCGGCAGTGGAGACGCTACCAGCCCTAATGGGACCTGACAAAAGTGGGACCTAAGTGGGTTGGTGGAGCAGGTGAGTGGGCAGTGCCAGCAGCAGCGGCAAGGGGCGGGGCTGCCGCCTGGCTCCCAGGCATTGAGGAGCC